TATTTCGCCGATACCCCCCAACCAAAAATTCATCTTTTTCGTTTTTTTTTTTGTGTGGGGGGGTGGGGCAGGGGATGCGCCGCCACGTGGCGCCGCCAAAATGGCGAAACCCCCTCCCCTGCGGCTGCCACGTGTCCGCCAATCTGCGCGTCCGCGCGGACTGGCCGCGGCCGCAGACTTGGCCGCGCCTGTCCGCCGCCGGGGGGGATACATAGCCTGCAAGCGCAACTACGCCGCTCCAACGGGAGAATGCTACGCGGCTCTCTGGGGAATCAGTCACTTTCGCGCTTACCTGTACGGGCGGAAGTTCACCTTGGTAACCGATCATGAGCCCCTGTTGGCTCTGAAGAAATCGAAGGATTACTCTGGCATGATCGAGCGATGGGCAACGGTGCTGCAGAGCATGGACTTCGACATTCGTCATCGGAAGCACGAGAGACACGGGAATGCGGACGGACTGACACGACTGCACCGGCCTGAGAAAGTTCCGAAGAGTGAGGAGGTGATTCCGTGGAACGAACCCGAATAGGAGGTTGGACCTCGGTATGGCCAAGTGGAGATCTTGTCAAAATAGTAAGTGACACGAGGACCAATTTGTCTGTTCTACCCTCTCCGCAATTCGGTCCCATCTCTCCTCCTCTATCATCATGACTACCCCACCTGTCTCCGCAACCCCTTCTCCTCCTACTAATTCAACCCCTCTCACTTCCTCAGCTTTCTTTGCCACCCTCCCCGATAAGTTCTGCTATTTTTGTACGTGTATTGCACGGGTTTATGGGGGCGACTGTCATCCTTTCAAACCGGGTTTGTCGATTGGGTAGAATGTGCCACATGTGTCAATCGTTCGCACGGGGCCTTCGTTCGATATCGGACAAGTAGCAAGGAATGGAGGTGCCCCCTGTGTAGAACGAACAAACTCCCCACGGAGGTTCGATTCGGGGCCGCCCGTATGGACGGCCCTGAATACGATGAAAAATACCGACGAGCGGAGGTTTGGACGGATAAAAATTTATTGGCGAAATTAGCGGGATTATCATTGGGTCACCTCACCAAACACGACATACGTAGGGCAACCGAGAGATCTCGGGACTATCGTGGATCAACGGTCATTTGGAGAAGCGTAAAACTGACGGATCGGGTTCGTGGTTGACGGTTCCCCATCCATTCCAGAGATATGATTGGATCCGATCGGCTCACGAAGAATAGGCCGCTCATTTCGCGATACGTGTCACGGAGGCAACTATAGACCAGAACCGATGGTTCTGGTTCAACATACGAGATGATGTCAGATACATTGTCACCAACTGTCTGGTCTGTGCCGCTGATCGCGCCCCAATACGGGGACCAAACACGATAGTACCAACGGAAGTAGAGCGCCCCTTCCAACAAGTCAGTATGGACACAACAGATATCGATGTGCCACCTGGCCCAAACCGCAGTGAGTATTCTATCCTTTTAGTATCAATTGACCATTTTTCCAAGTACATCGAGGTCTATCCCTGTAAGACCCGCAAGGCCGCAGAAATAGCCACGTACATCGATCGGTTCCTCTACACTCATCTAGATACGGAAGAAATTTTAACCGACAATGGGTCCGAATTTAAGGGAGAAGTAGAGGAACTGCTCGCACGAAGGGGCGTCACGCTCCGATATACGGCACCCCACGTGTCTCAGTCGAACGGATTGGCGGAGAACACCAACCGCATGATTAAAACGGCCCTTCGCAGGAATTTAGCGGCACATGACACACGTCCGTGGCCCGAGATCGTATATCAGATCGTCGGGATCCACCCGGCCACCCCTCATGAGTCCACGGGGTTCACCCCCTTTCAGCTTCGTACTAATAGCCTCCCCTGTGTCGACTACCGGGGTAACTTGGAAATTGCCGAAGCAGGGGGTAGAGACACGCGTGCAGCCCTCAAGGCCAAGGCCAAAAGATATACCGAATTAATGGAGCGGACCATCCCAAAGCTAGCGCGAAAAAGACAGAGGATGACCGATCTGGCCCACGGTAGGCAGGTCCGCAGCTACGAAGCTCGGAATGGAAATGATGGGCCCCAGCACCAATATAAATTAGGGGACCTAGTGCAGGTACGTAAATGTGCACGCGACCGAAAACTCGCTCCCAAATTCTCTGGCTGCTTCCGCGTTGTCGAGCTCGGTCCTAACGGCGCCAACACGGTGCGCATCGCGCCCGAGGCTAGTGCCAGCCATAGCTCTGTCCCCATCGTCCGGCATACCTCCTACCTTCGTCCTCTTCCTCCCTCTCATCTTCCTCCCTCTCCCTCCTCCGAAAGCGAGGAGAACGACGGCGATCTAACTCTCTCTCCGCTCTCTCCCTCCTGCCCTTCGTCTTCCTCCCCGTCCTCGCCATGAGCTTCATCACGGAGTGAGCTCTAGATGATCAACTGCTGCAACCACGTGACCACATCTCGGAAATTCGGCAAGTTCATCATCCACAACTTAATACGGATCTTCGGCGTTTGGCGAAGTTCTTCTGCGAAGTGGGTGTGTGTGTCGCCACCGCGTTTCGATTCAAAGGGAGCTCACAAGCAATGGTACTGGCGGAAGAAATAGCAGTTCATTGGCGAGCCGCTCATGGAACGAGCCACGTCACCACGGTTGCGGCTTTCAGCGGTGACATGAGGTCGGTCAATCCACGGTGGCATACCGCGATCTTGACCTCGCTGCGAGAGTGAACGGAGCAGGGGTCCAACGTGTGGCAGCACGGCCTCGCCCAACCAGGGCACAACCTCATCCCGACCTTTGCGCCGAATCTTGGCGAGATCCGCCTCTCTCCGCGCGAGCCGCCGATTCCAATCCCCGCCGTCGTCCCTTTCCCACGCCCCCAATGAACCACGTCGTTCCTCTCGCTCCTCTCTCCATCTTTGGTCTCCCCTCTATTTTCCCCACCTTATGGCAGTCCGATCTTTATCCTTCTCTTTCCTTCTCGTTGGAGCCTCTTTCTGCCCTGCTCATTAATCCTGGGCATTGGCGATTGTGGTGCGAAACTTTTGACGAGCTGTCCTTGTGCTTGGCCCGAGTACAGGTTACGTGGACGCAGACACGAGAGCATCCTGCGTGGATCGAAAATTTGGAGCTGCTGATCATACAAGCTTGGAAGACCAACGTGGAGGGCGATCTTCTCGGCTTTCTCTTTGGATCGGTACGGTCGGGCCGCTGCCAGTTGATTGTGCAGGAGCTCATCGCGCCGATTGTCCAATTAGCGGACGATCCCTCGCCCGATATCGTCTCGCAAAGTGACGACAGCCCTGCCCCACACGTCCTCGCGCGGTCGTTGGATCCATACCTTCAGTGGACTGCGTGCTTGGAGGAGCCCAGGGACGAAGATACGCTACCATCACGGCAGGAGTATCTGAAGCCTTACGACATCATCCCTCACACCTTTTATCCAAAGGCGGAGGAAGTGGTGATCGACGACGACGAAGAAGACGACGACGAGGAAACGTCGGAGGAGGGAAGCTATAGCGAGTATAGCGAGGGGGAGCTGAGTGAAGAAGAAGAAGAGGAGGAAGCAACGCGCACGGGCACAGAGGCGGAAAACCCTGAGGCTACGCGTAGGCGAGAAGAGATTGCCGCCGGGAAACGCCAGCTAGAATTCGCCAGCAGAGCAAGTCAGCGCATCGGTGACGATTCGACCAGGGATCCGGAACCGCCAAAGCCCGGAGATGGCAACCCCGCAGCCGCCGCCTTAAGTACCGCGCGACAGAGACGGAGCAGATCCCCCTCCTCCTCCAGCCCCACCCGTCCCCCAGTTCGCGCACGTACCGATGCGGGCGATAGGCCTTCGTCCTCGGACGTTATCCCGCCGCCCCCTTGATTTCCTCACCCTCGAACAGATCCACACCCCCGTCACCTTCCCCCTCCATCCCTTCCTTCCCCATCTCTTCCACGATTTCTACTCTACCCGCCTACTCGCTACCGTCTACCCCCACCCATCCCTTCAGCCCGCTGCCCCCACGTTCTGCTGGCATATCCTGTTGTTCAGCGCTGCATGGGAGCGATGCAACATGGTAGAAGTCTACTGCGTAGCCACGGGGACAATCCCCGCCTATCGCCACTACGAGCTCTTTCGAGCGGCGCTCCTCCGCACCCTCTCCTCCTTCTATCGCGACTACCTCGCTTCTCTCCCTCATAGCGGCGATCGCTTTCCTCGCTTCCACCGGATCATCCGATATGAGGAGCTTCCGGTGACG